TATCTTGTAAAATATAAAAGTTTTCTGTGAAAGTCAGACGGTTTGTACGAGACAGCCACTATGATAATCACAGTGTTTTTATGGTGTACTACAGTTGCAATTCAAACACCTGGCTTGTGAACCTTCAGCTGGTGATCTTGGACATACTTAATTGTCGCAGGGTATACAAAGAATGCTCGCTTTCCTTGTTGCTGCAACATCTTTAACTCAGGCAGGAGAGCTTTACGGCGAGCCTGAACGCGATGACTGAAATCCTCTGCAACAAACAACTTTGATCTCTCTTTGTACTTGAACCCCTCCTTGAACGCAGCAACACATGCCTTCCGGACCCTCACTCGATCTTGAAACGAACTGAAGCAAACATGAATTGGACGATCCTTCGGCTTGTACTGGCTGCCATTCTGGGGATGTCCACGAGATGATGGTGGACCTGGCGGCGTGCGGTGAGCCCTCTCGATCTGAACATGCTCAAGATTCTTGTCAATAGAGGCCAAAAAAGATGAAATCAACTCACTGCATCCACTGGCAGAATCAGGCTCCTCACCTTCAGGGAAGTTGAAAAAGATTAGATTGTTTCTTCGAGATCTATTCTCAAGGTCGTCAATCTTATCAAAAGCTGCAGCCAATTCCTTTTCCAGATGTTGGAACTTTTCTTCACAAGCAGCTTCATGAAAATCCAGTCTCTTATGCAGGTCATCAAACTTTGAATCCAAACGCCTTTCATATTCTATGAACCAAACAGGGGCTGCAGCGGCCGCGTCACTCACCCGGGAGCTGCCGGGGCCGGCTGGCGGAGACATGGCGTTGGATCGCTGACAATCAACGGGCAACTTTCTTTGCTTTTTCTCGATCGATCCACCGTTTTTGGACGGGGAGTTTAATCTCTTGTCCGGCATTAGGAAACACTAAATCAAAGAGCAGTAAAATCAGAGCTGAAAAGGCCTTCAAAAGTCCTGTTGGATCAAAACTTTGCTAAAGAGAGGCTCGTGTGTTATTTTCTAGAAAGGCGCCATCTTCGATGTTCATGAAGCTACTTGCCCTTTTTGTTAACCCCACATTCCCATAAAGTTTTATTTCCTCCTTCCCTTTGTATTTTTCTTGTTATCGATCTTTATCTGTATATCATGTCTGTATGTTTTAATGTTTTGATGGAGAATGAAATAAATGAAATGAAATGAAATGAAAGATCACATCAAGAACCTTTTTTTCGTACTTTAGTGACAATGTCACATGTCATGACGTACAGTAGACATTGTACCGGATCGTGCTTTAGTGACAATGTCACATGTCATGACGTACAGAAGACATTGTACCGGATCGTGCTTTAGTGACAATGTCACATGTCATGACGTACAGTAGACATTGTACCGGATCGTGCTTTAGTGACAATGTCACATGTCATGACGTACAGTAGACATTGTACCGGATCATGCATTAGTGACAATGTCACATGTCATGACGTACAGTAGACATTGTACCGGATCGTGCTTTAGTGACAATGTCACATGTCATGACGTACAGTAGACATTGTACCGGATCGTGCTTTAGTGACAATGTCACATGTCATGACGTACAGAAGACATTGTACCGGATCGTGCTTTAGTTACAATGTCACATGTCATGACGTATGGTAGACATTGTACCGGATCATGCTTTAGTGACAATTTCGTGACGTACAGTAGACATTGTACCGGATCATGCTTTAGTGACAATGTCACATGTCATGACGTACGGTAGACATTGTACCGGATCATGCTTTAGTGACAATGTCGTGACGTACAGTAGACATTGTACCGGATGATGCTTTAGTGACAATGTCACATGTCATGACGTGCAGTAGACATTGTACCGGATCATGCTTTAGTGACAATGTCACATGTCATGACGTACGGTAGACATTGTATCGGATCATGCTTTAGTGACAATGTCACATGTCGTGACGTACAGTAGACATTGTACCGGATCATGCTTTAGTGACAATGTCACATGTCGTGACGTACAGTAGACATTGTTCCGGATCATGCTTTAGTGACAATGTCACATGTCATGACGTACAGTAGACATTGTACCGGATCGTGCTTTAGTGACAATGTCACATGTCATGACGTACAGTAGACATTGTATCGGATCATGCTTTAGTGACAATGTCACATGTCGTGACGTACAGTAGACATTGTACCGGATCGTGATTTAGTGACAATGTCACATGTCATGACGTATAGTAGACATTGTACCGGATCATGCTTTAGTGACAATGTCACATGTCGTGACATACAGTAGACATTGTACCGGATCATGCTTTAGTGACAATGTCACATGTCGTGACGTACAGTAGACATTGTACCGGATCATGCTTTAGTGACAATGTCACATGTCGTGACATACAGTAGACATTGTACCAGATCATGCTTTAGTGACAATGTCACATGTCATGACGTACAGTAGACATTGTACCGGATCATGCTTTAGTGACAATGTCACATGTCGTGACGTACAGTAGACATTGTACCGGATCGTGCTTTAGTGACAATGTCACATGTCATGACGTACAGTAGACATTGTACCGGATCATGCATTAGTGACAATGTCACATGTCATGACGTACAGTAGACATTGTACCGGATCATGCTTTAGTGACAATGTCACATGTCGTGACGTACAGTAGACATTGTACCGGATCATGCTTTAGTGACAATGTCACATGTCATGATGTACAGTAGACATTGTACCGGATCATGCTTTAGTGACAATGTCACATGTCGTGACGTACAGTAGACATTGTACCGGATCATGCTTTAGTGACAATGTCACATGTCATGACGTACGGTAGACATTGTACCGGATCATGCTTTAGTGACAATGTCACATGTCATGACGTACAGTAGACATTGTACCGGATCGTGCTTTAGTTATTGTCTTTTGAAACAGTACATTGATATTGAGTTCTGTGTAATGAACATAACAATTATTTGCCTGGTTGTATCTAAACCATGTCCTTTTTCACATTATCTTAACTTTTTGTCAACTTCATTATTATATTTCAGATGACTAATCCACGAGGATCAGCGATTCTAGTGCTATAACGATGTGTTGATGCAGACCACACTTGCATAATACGAACGAGTAATGCTCACAAATTATTTTTCACCTCTTCCCAGAACTCAACCTTCTACACTGTTTAAATAGACATGATTGATCAAATATGAGTGGGATATTAATATTATTACCCTTGGTAGTTCCATAAGAATGGTTTCTTTCATAAATACGGATAGTAAACTGACTAAAATAATTATATCAATCCAATATACTCAATCAATCAAATGAAACGCAAATACAATAGATGACGTAGAATACCTCTATCTGCGGTTTCAGAGCAGTACAACGATTGAGTACGAGGTAAAAACGTACAGGAAAACAGACACTATTCCTAAAACGGGGTTTAAATATCTTCTTTTTCATTTTCCATACTTATTGACTATCGGATTACTTCACTTACTTCTATACAATATTAGTGCAGCGGCTTAGCAAGAAAATTGTGCACTTTTTGATAAAAGCATGAAACTTCTAGCATAGTTAGTTAGACCATAAGATTTATTTTCAGATGTGGAGGGAAGTCAGATTTGACCTCTGCTGACCCTGAGAGGTCAAATCCAAAATGGCCGCCAGTCCGTATGGTCTAATGTACAAACGCCATGGGCCCCCAATCACCCGTATATGAATATGTATGCCGGGGGCTCCTACCTTACCATCATTCAGCAGGTCCGAATGAAGCCCTGTACCAAAAATGGCGTTTGTACAACAACAAATCAATGTTTTATTACATTACAAATTATTTGTGGATTACGAGGCGACGCACCTGTCCCACACCTTATATGATATTCTTGCCGGGGACTCCTACCCTGATATCGTTCAGTAGGTCCTAAGGAAGCCCTGTACCAAAAATGGCATTTGTACAACAACAAATAAACGGATCAGAGAAAGTTGATCATGTAGCATGTAAGTATTGGTGTGTACTGCAAAGATCTGGAGTCATCAAGATCATAATAAATTTGGCCCAGTCTTGGTAAAGTAACAAGCACTTTACACAGAAGATGTATATGGGACTACACAAAATGGTGTCGGGGCTATTATGTTTCCTTATCTTTCTATGCTCATTACTCAGCCAGTATACATTTTCTACCAAAATTGTTTGGCAAATGACATTTATTTTTAATCTTGAACATTCAGTGTAAGTTTCGTTTGATTCTGTGAGAATTTTTTTTTTTTTTTACCAGAACCTAAAGGCGTTCACAGACACTATGACAAAACAATAGATCACACAATATAGGAAACCTCAACTTCCTTAATTCTCCTCCCATGTCCTTTTATTGCTTTTATTATTGCTGTTTATTAATATTATTATTACTAGTAGTATAGTAGTAGTAGTGGAAGTAGAAGAAGAAGTAGAAGTAGTAGTAGTAGTAGTAGTAGTAGTAGTAGTAGTAATAGTAGTAGTAGTAGTAGTAGTAGTAGTAGTAGTAGTGGTAGTAATAGAAGTAGTAGTTGTAGTACGTTTTTAAAATCAGGCCTTTAATCATTATCATGATTGGCGTTGTTTATGTTGTTGGCGTTATTGCATAGGCGCTTGCCCCCAAAATATGGGCTTTGCAAAAGTTTTATTATTACAGTCACGGGTGCTCGGGTGGCTCGGGGTTCGGGTGCTCGGGTGCTCGGGGCCTCGGGGACTAGTATAGGTTGGCAATCCTTTGAATGCCTTCGATGATGTAGATAGGAGTCATTAGGGTAGAATGCTGGTGACTTCCGGATAGGTTCCTGGCCTTACAGAACTATACCTACTACGATCGAGCAAGCACATCGAACATAATACCCTTTGAACAGCATGATCTAAGCTGAACCACGAATCTACGCATAGGCTGTCCAACCATCCTGTCGACAACATGCATAATAAAACATTATAACTTCAAATCAAATAGATCAAATGAATTTACTTTCTTTCTTACCAGACGTCATCCTGATGATTGTTCTCCGCTCACATTCAACGATGTAATGTGACTATGCGATAGAGATGATTTAAACTGTGTTTGATATTAATACGTCGCACTTGGTGAAACTCGTCTATCAATGGGTATAGCGTGTATAATGACAATGGCTTTCATTCCGTAATAACTAATATCCGTTTCCTGGCCTTGATGATCAATATGTACACAGAGCGTCATTCAGAGAATTTTGTATTTAAACCAGAATGGGTTAAAAACATGTACAAAGTACAGTGACATAGGCCATGTTGGGTAGCATTACAAATTGGGAAAAAGACAAGGGCGGCGGAGCATCTTTCAAAAGCAGGAGTGCATCGGAAAAAGGGGTACTCTCTGGAGATAAAAAAAAAAGGGGAGGGCACCTATAGAAAGGGTAACCTTAACCCTAAAAAGGCCGGGCTATTTGAGGTCTTAGTATGGCCGGGGGGCGAATTTGCGATTCCCAAACCATTCAGCTATGGGAAACATTTTGAGCAACGTGATTGGTTAAAAAAAGTTATAAAGACACGCCCACATCGACGCGAGCCATCTCATCATTTCATGGCGGTGCGAATGTGTTGTTGTTGTTTAATAACCAATTTCTTGTCTCTATTTCAACATGATATAACCTCAGGCTCACAAGTTATTCTTCAAAATTTAAAACAAGGAAACAATTAAGAAATACAATTAGGCACAGGCATATAATTTGAGTGACCTATAAGGAGTTAAAACCACCGACAATTTGTATTTTCAAATGTTTCAATAGCGTTCTAATAGAAAATCATTTTTATCCATTTTACGAGAATACTGCTCTGTCATTCAGAATAAAAGGCGCATACCATTGTCTGTCATAACACAGGGGTCTGAATAATTGAACTATACATTGCACGTATAAGGCCATGTGACACAGCAAGTCGGAAGCTGGACTTACTAGGCTTTACTCAACACTATAAGACTATATTTTGTCAAAGTGTCTTTTTGATCTGTTCATTCTAGTCTGCAAGCACAGACTCTAATTTGACACTTTGATAACAAAATATATCATGTATGAGGAAGACTAGTCCAGCTACTCGTCTGTGTCAAAATGGACCTACCATGGTCAAAATAAATATACAATACATGGTCTATTGTAGTCTCATGATTCAGAATCTGTATTATGCACTATGGGACGGACATGGGTATGGGTGCCTGCAAACTATGTGCACCCCACCTCTCTCTTTTTTTCGTACTTTCCCTCTCTCTTTCTCTCAACTTGCATGTGCTCCTTTAAATTCCCTCTTCCTTCTCATTCCCGTCACTTTTTTTTTCTCGCCTCGAGTCTCACTGACCCATCTCTCTCTATGCGTTACTGATACACACCTTCAGTAGCAGAATTCTAAGGCATGTGAGTAGTTTGCAGGCACATACCTGTGCAAAATACAGAGTCTGAATTGTGAGACTACATTATGGCCCCCCCCCCCCCCCCCTAAGATCTCGGCCGCGAAGCGGCCGATTGCCGCGAACATGTCAAGTGAAGTGTATAGAATAATAGGATAATTTCGATTTTTTGAAAAATTCACTCATTTGCATATTTATGGTAATTTATGCAAATAAAGTCATAAAAATCAATTTTTACCCATAAATCATATATTATTCATATTTAAGCATTCTTTTTCACTACATATATTCATTAGACCATTCTGAATAATAATACGACAAAAAAATTTGGAAGAGCCAGCTTATTCCTTATGTTATCCCTTGTTTTGATAATTTCTTATGTATTTCATTGTTTTTTTAACTTATGTATTTCATTGTTTTTGTTGTTTTATTTCATTTCTTACTACAATTCAACTATTTTGACTCCCAAAACAACCACCTAAACTTTAAACAAGACCCAATAACCCATGTTTGATCTGTTTTTAAGAAAAATGACTTTTCCATATGTTTTGTACACAAATCACGAAAATGAGCGATTTTCGGGCTGACATGCAAAGACAAAAGGTCACGTGACCTTGTAACCGTAGGTCCGATTTTCAAAAAGATTCTTTTAAAAGTTGTGCAAGACTCTAAAGAAAAACGTCAGCGAGCGGCGGGGCGCCATCCATATGCGTTCCCGAGCAATCGGAAAAATCGTGGAGGGAGGGCATAATGCCCCCCCCCCCCCCGGCCTTATTAGGGTTAAGGGCATCGTTTAACAATGTTAACGTGGCTCGGTAACATTGTTTTAGATTATGAAACAAAATCCTGGATTTAGCTCATGCTGCGGTGATAATTATAAACCGTTATATAGATCAGTAAAGGAACCGCATGACTTTAATAAGCCAATCGCATGTCTGATTATCAAGATATTTATGATTGTAATTCGAAATCAATTTTTTCGTTTTTCTGAACGGTTTTTATTACACTACAGTATATTGGGGAAAAGGAGTATGATAAAACCGGTCAACCAAAGATTTTTTACTTTTTTGAGGCACTTCATGATCATTTTAAAGCGCATTTTTGTGTAGGGCTTCAATATTACACCATATCACACACACTGATAACACGTAGGGCCATGCATCTCAGATTTAACTTTGTTAAACGATGCTTTTGAAGCGAATATTTGCAATCTTTAAACATTGTATATACCCCTATATATATATATACTATGTATATAATTGTAATGTATACATCATTAAGGATGACCATAACATTAATTTGTGCTGTTTACGTTGTCCAAGACACTGCTTCAGCAGCATACTCTGCTGTGTGTGTGATGGTCTTAACATTCATGAGCAAGCGAGAGCATTTCTTAAAAGATGTATAGGTCACATTGCTACCAATTAGACCCATTATTAGTTGAAATAATCGATTCTCGTGGAGTTTTAAAGCCTGTCTGCACTAGTTTGGCAAGGGGAATTAGACCTCCCTGCAGGGTCACTGACAGGTGGTTATCTCATCAAATCAGCTCTCAATTAACATAAGAAAAAGGGGATCATGGGTAACAAATAGGCACCGATTATGCATTGTTTGCGTTATAGAGGGCGCAAGTAGCTATAAGTAGTGCAGTGGGGCTTTAAGCACAGTATCATGAACCATAGAATACGAACGTCATTAATGAAATAAACAATAATGCGAGGGAACGTAGCGAGCCATCAGTTGTTGCGGGAAATTTGAGCAGAATTACTCTCAGTCGCTTTAAAACAGGCACACCTTATTATCGGGGGCTATGAGAAATGTATTGTTACTCGGGAGATGAGGAGTGATAATAACACCTTGTCCTAGCATATAGGGTAGTTATACAGTTGCTTTGAGTTTGAGAAATCCTACATTGGCATTTTAGGAAGATGAAAGGGGCTTTTTGGCTTAAAGAATGATAGGTTGGAAGTCACCTTTTAGCATTTGAATATTGACAAACTATTTAGTGTTAAGAGAGGGCGCACTTCATATATTGGGTATCTAGAGATGGGACATTAAACTAGCTTTGAAAATGAGTATTAAATAGCTTTGGAAATGAGCATTTAATATATCTTAAAGAGACACAGTTCTCGATATTACATAAACTGTTTCGATTCTTTGAAAGTGGTATTTGCTCTTTAAATGGACGAACAAGAGCATAATTTGAAGAGGACAGGGGAAATATAAGTAAAAGGGGGCACTTATCAAAAGCAACTCTAAGAGAGAAATTATCATACTTGAAAGGGGTACTCATCAGAGATGAAAGGGGGGTACGTATATACGATTTGGATAGGAACAATTATTGGAGGTAGAAAGAGACATTTTATGAGAAAGAGGAAGGGGCTCTAACTAGGCGTTGTGGCGTGCGCCTGTAATCCAGCTAAAAGTGAAGTTACAAACTGATTCAGCCGAGGACGCAGGTTCGAAACTGAGTCACATCTTTCGGATGGTGACGTTTCAAGGTCTGTCCCCAGACGTAAATAATCTTATCTGATTGATACACGTCTGTAAACACCTAGTACACACACTTATACACACTCTTATTTGGAAAAGGGGCACTCATCAGATGTAAAAAGGATAACATCAAGCCCCCTTATCTGGGCACTTTAAGGAAAGGGAAGGGGTATTTATTACAAAGGGAAGTGAGCACTTGACAAAGTAAAAGGGGCACCTTTCATATTAGAATGGGGGAACTTATCGCATGTTAAAAGTGGCAACGTGACGAGGAAGGGAAAGGGGCGCTCATAGAGAGCAAATAGTGCACTTATCATAAGTTTTAAAAAAGTGCATTTTTCCTAAGTAAAAAAGGGGCTATTTGGGGGTACATGAATGCGTGAGAATACAATACTCGATCATAGTCAGTAATCTTGGGATATTTTTTCACTTAAACAACTCAAACTCCTTCTTCCTGTGTGTCTCTCCCTCTCTCCCTCTCTCTGTTGATTTTAATTTTTCTGCTACCCAACATGGAGTATGTCAATGTACTTTGAATATGTTTTCAACACATTCCAGTATTGAATTAAAAAATGCAGTGTCTTACACTCAGTGCATAGCATGGTTACCGTTGACAGGAAACAGTTATTATTGTGTGAAAAACATTTTTGTTTTAAACCCCAATTTATGGAATTATTTTGACAATGGTTTATTCCTAATATATAGATCTAGATAATAGTAAACATTCTCAGATTTTATTGAATAATAATTTGCCAGTGTTTGTGCCCTTTTGTGGGGCATTAATCCTAATTACTGTCATTTATGACTTAAGGTACTATGTCCATATGCAGGCCAAACAAATGAAAAAGTTAGATTCCAACTGCATTTGAAAGATAATACTAATTTAGAACTTCCCTGAAAAAGGTGGGGCTTGAAAATGTCTTCAAGTGGGAAAATAACGACCATTAGTTGTCAAATCGACTTTAGGGCTATAGAGCCCAAAAGTAAAAGTCTTGATTTTCAGACGATAGTACCGAATGGTCATACGTTTTATGCTGCGCAAAGATTCAATCAGTTTAATCTTGGCCATCACAAGAAGTGGGTTATTGATGTAGACAAATGCTCATGTACCCTTTACAACTATTTTCATGTATGTTATTATTAAAGAAGAAAAAAAGGCCAGTTAGTCACTCAATAGTGTCTGACAGTGAAGTCTAGCAAGTAAACGGGTTTCCTTGCATAATTTGAATATGAGGACACTGCTAACGTTTAAATTTCACAGATAGGACATACATGACATGTTCGTAGTTCCTGCAAAGTTCTACAGCATTTGAGGTTGGCTGCAAAAGGGACATAGTCCCTTTAAGGACGTAGGTCCCCTAGCTGATAAGCATATTAGCATACACATGCTTTAGCAGTCACGCAAAACAAACACTGGCAAATTGTTATTCAATAAAATCTGAGAATGTATACTATTATCTAGATCTAAATTATTGTCAAAATAATTCCATAAATTGGGGTAACAAAATATTCCAACGTTATGAGCGACAGTGTATATTCACATGTATATGGATATATATCTTTTATTTAGGGCTAATTAGGGCTATGTTTTTCGGTTGGTGTTCCCACGGTGTGTTTTCATTGTTCCACGGATTTAGAACTCTTCAAAGGCAGTTTGTGCTTTCATTTCGTAGCCTGTATGTGATGTCATTTTTTAAACAATAGTCTTGAACTCTTTGTGATGTTCATTACAGAATGCAAGCAATTCACCAATGAAGGTTGTGACGTAGAGGGCGGTGGTCATGGAACCCTTCCTAGTTACGATGAGAGTGATGCGATTCAAAGCTCAGCTCCACCTCAGAACCCTTACCCGCCTCCTCTGAGGATCCTATACAGGGGTGGCGATTTCATTTCATGACCGGGGGAAAATATGTACACGTTGACAGGATCACCGCCCTATGCAACAGCTTTCTCAATCTCAGCAGGCTTCACAGTTCCCTCAGCAGCAACCAGGCACCTATGCCCCCTAGCTGCAGGTGGTTCAGGTAAAACACTTAGATGGCAGGAGAGAGAGAGAGAGAGAGAGAGACCAAAGGGAGGTTGTGAGGGATAGATAGACTGAGGGAAATACAACAATCTCAGAACTACACTCTGTGCATACAATGATCACCAATGACAGGGATCGGATATTATGGTGTGAAAGTACACCCGTCGAAAAAAAAAACAGAGCGAGAATGAGAGGCAAGGACTGTCTCCGTTTTAGCCTTGAAGGTGTATCATTTTGTTCAGTTCTGTGAGCGCGAAACGGAAACACTTCAAGGAGTGGACTTATTAATCGTGTTTTTGCCTATAGCAATTATTATTATTTGTTTTGCTCATTAGGGGGGGGGGGGGGTGAACATGCCTGTTTTCTCCCTCAACCCCCCCCCCCCCCCCCCCCTCCATTGAGCACCCGTTTGAACACCTAAAACACTCCTGTTTGCCAAAGGGGCAAGGGGTGTTTAACACCCAAAACAACCCAACCCCCCCCCCCCCCCTCCACCTCCTCGCTTGGCCAGTGGCGTATAGCGTAATTAAATGATCTTTATTTCGGCCACCATTTATAAGATTTATTAATATGAACACAATAATTTCTTCAGCAAAATATGTTACCCGGCAAGGAACTTTATGTCGTTCCAGAAAAAAGGATGAACTCGCGCAAGTGTGTTTCTCCTCAGTATTTCCTCTCATCTATTCACCTATCCTCCCTCCTCTTCCAGCTAACTCTGTCCTGTCGTCTACCTATCACCCACTTGCCCTTTCATTTATATTCTCTCTCTCTCTCTCTCTCTCCCTCCCTCTCTCTCCCTCTCTCTCTCTCCCCCTCTCTCTCCCTCTCCCTCTCTCTCTCTCTCACTCTCCTACTCTCAATCTCTCTCTCTCTCTCTCTCTCTCACTCTCCTACTCTCAATCTCTCCCCTCCCTCTCTCTCTCTCTCTCTCTCTCACTCTCCCTCTCTCCATCTCCCCATCTCTCCCTCTCTCTCTCTCTCTCTCTCTCTCACTCTCCCTCTCTCCATCTCCCTCCCTTCTCTTATACTCGCACAGTATAGTAAGACGTGAACGCGTTTTGACATTTATATGTGATGTCTATGCACTCTTTAACCAACTACAATTCACAAGCATGCTAAAGGCCCTAGATGAAAGTCATCGAAAGCCAGTTGAACGAGCACCAATTAGGGGTGACTGCAAGTTTTATAATAGATTAGAATAGCGAAAAGGGTATTCTTCTAGATCACATATTGTGTTCATAAAAGAAATGGCCGAAGAACATATGCCTGGGACGTTTGTTGATCAGCTCATGCAATACGTTTGGGACTTTTATATCAAAATCAGTTTCCTTAAAAACAAAATTGTCTTTGTTTAGTCGTGACGGAATGATAAGAGGAAAAAAATCTATATTGGTTAAATAGCGGTCAAAAAATACTAGATGAGGGGAAAGAGAAAGAAAGAGAGAGAGAGAGCAAACAAGACAGGGGGAGAGAGAGAGATAAAGTGAAAGAGAGAGAGAGATAACGAAAGGGAAGAGAGAGAAAGAGAGAGACGGGGAGAAGGAGGGAGAAAAAGAGAGATGGGGAGAGGGGGAGAGAGAACAAGAGAAACAGTGAGAGGAGGGCAAAGAGGGGTAGGGACAGAAAGCGAGAAAGAAAGAGAGACCAGCAAGCCCAGAGACATAAATAAACTTTATATATAAAGAATAACCTTTTTTTTCTCTCTCTATGCAGGTATAAATTATTTAATTTTGTCGATCACTTCTTAGGGCTTCTCCTTTTTTGCTGCTTCCCAAGTTTTACAATATCAAGAAGATTACATAATTGGGTAAAGACAAATGTGAGCTGACACGTACGACCCTGTACGTACATTATTTTAATATGACGTGACAGTCATCCTTATAAACATGAGGGTTTAATGAAGTACTATGTAGCAAAATATGCAAATATTGAAATATTTCTTCCACTAGTTTTACAAACCTCTTAATATACATATTCCCTTTCAATTTTTTTTTAAAGAATGAGTTAAATTAAAATAAATATGTAAATATATGCCTTCAATATGGAATCATAGATCTTATTCTTGGGTTTTACCCGGCGAGACAATTAACATATTGATAATTGAACGTTTTCCTGACATGCGTATTCATTTAATAATTATAAGGACCGTATATAAATTACTTTTATAAAAACATATCAAGCAAATAAACATTCAGAAGTGAGGGTGCATCTTGCGGGCACTCATGTATCCGTTCTCGGTGTCTACTCACTTTGTAGAACCTGTGAAAATGTCCACGTCTTTCTTGCATCAGCCAATATCATGTTTCTTGTATCGTGGTCCATATATTTGTTTCCTTTTATTGTCTTCAAATAAAGTCTTTATTCAATGTTGTATTAAACAATAAACCAATACATGTATAAGCAAATGTAAACAAATAATGGATACATACATTTGACAAATAAAGGAAAAATTACTTAAACGAAATGTTAGTATTAAGACTAAGTTGGACGTACCTCCATCTATCAAAAAATTAAATGAACCTACCTTGTTGTGCAGAGATTGTTTGTTCAACTTCATAATGATCTTTCAATTTCTTTTGAAAACATTTGAGTTGATTGATTTGATTTTGATATATTTATTTCTGTTTGATTTTCTTTTTCTTTTGCATTTTTACAAATATATAACAAACAAACATTGCAAATTTACACATGACAAAAGAATATATGTAGAATAAACTAAGGCTGGCTGTAACTAATCGAAAGCATCAAACAGGAGGGTTGACAAAGTAAGCAAAGCTTTATAGTATGACTACCCGCAAGGATACATAATAATACAAATATGGAGGAAATGATAATTATCCCTTCAAATATCTGGTTGAAAATATATGATATTTTGCATACGAAATTTAAAGAAAAATAATTTTCACCCGGGATGCCAAAGATGAAGTCATTACATGTTAACTTGATTTCATTTATAAGGATTTATTTTCCAAATTCTTCGAAGAATCGACGAGTTACTGGGCATTCCCAAATAAGTGTTTAATAGATTCCATCTATTCTGAACAAAATTTACATAAATCAGAATGGGATATACCAATAGTCCTTAAATACCTATTGACACCAAGAATATAGTGAGTTATTTTCAACTGACAATGCCGTTTTCTTCTAGGAAACTGGAACTTGAAAGAGTTTGTCAACACACAATTTATGAATTAGTTAATATTCTTAAGTTAAATTTGTCATGCTGCAAATAATTTCTTACTGGTTATTAATATTTTGTTAGGTGGGTCTTCGCAAGTATGCTTCCCTTGTAAAGGTATAGCCGATATAATTGAATACAAATCTAGAAAATTACAATGAATAATGAATTTATTTACAACCTCCGAATATGTGAGAAAATCATATTGATTCCTGTTTATCTAATCTTTCTTAAAGAGTATAAAACCCTTCACCTTGATACATGAATTAGTATCTCATATAATTTGATTATGAATAAATTCCTCAGAGGGATTATCTACAAAACATAATTCACTCCAAGGTGATACGATTTCTTTTATAAAAGCATTAATTTCTTGCAAAGATTTGTCTTTTTTTTGTTGTAAATTGCAAGACCATTACAAGTCCGGGTCTATCTTTTATAAAATGATTATTTTGGGGGCAAAGATTTATCTTTTTTTGTTGTAAATTGCAAAACCATTACAAGTCCGGGTCTATCTTTTATAAAAGCATTATTTTGGGGGCAAAGATTTATCGTTTTTTTGTTGTAAATTGCAAGACCATTACAAATCCGGGCCTACTGATTAAGTTAAACCCGACCAAGGGAATAAAATCACGTTTAACTATAGGAAAATTAGATCTCATGTTTTTATTTCAGTATTCAATAAACACATACACTCTAATTGACATAACTGAAAAGTAAATCCTTGAACACATTTAGTACTGCATACACAGGGCTATTAAAGTAAACAAGAATACGGTCATACGAGTAACAAAGACCTATGTATTTGTAGTACTGTTATCTTAACTAAATTAAAGTTTGTTTTTTATCAAAAAGTTTTTAAATGTTAAGTATCGTATTGTAACACGAATCAATGAACATTTAAAGGGGATATTTTCTAATCCACCTTTCCTTTTCTCTCTCTCCCTCCCCCTCTGTATGTCGGTCTGTCTCTCTCTCTCCCTCCTCCTCTCTGTCTGTATGAATATCTCTCTATCTCTCTCCTTCCTCTCTCTCACTCTCTCCCTCCCCTTCTCCCTCTCTCTCTCTCTCTCTCTCCCTTCCTCTCTCTCTCTCTCTCTCTCTCTCTGTAGCTATTTCTCCAGTTTGCAGTGGTCCTATTGCGGAGTCTTGCGAAAATCTATATAATCGAGGATTGTGGTCATGAACTCAAACTGATCAAACAATTGGGTTTTAAACTACGCAGCCCTTCTTCCATTCTAATCATGGTCCCCTCTCCTCCTTCTTTCTCTTTATTTTTCTAATAACCATATTGAACGGATGAGCCTAATGTAGATAACACAATGCCACCAAGTACACTAACACCCACTGAAACGCTGCCAAAGATTAACCCGATTCTGGACCAGCGTTTCGCCTCCAAAGATGAGACAGCGGCACCGTGGTAGTCCCCCACTGCTGATCGGTTTCTCACCTTCAGATAAAACAAGAAAATACAACACTCATGTCATGTTATGTATACGGAAAATAGCAGAATATTGGTGATAGTATCCATTGTAACAAGGAGATTGAATTACTAACCCGAATTTGTTTATGCTTTATTTTTAACAACAACCCCAACAGAAACACCGCCACCACACCAACACCAACACCAATAAGAGTAACAAACAGTTTGTATCAATTACTAAGTGATCTATTTTTGTCAACGGTTTTATCGCAATGATGTCCTTCTAATCATATTTAGAAATCTTTCCCGAAGGCAATTACAAACCAAAGGAATCATCGCAGGACAGTCACATGGAGACAACTGTCCCTGAAAAGTTATCCTTTTTAATGACTACTCCCTAACAGCATACTTAGTCCATCTGAGTGAACATATTCGCGGTCTCACAACTTACTGTTGATGTAAGCTAATGCAATACATGAATAATAAAAATTTATTTGACCTCTGATTACTCGGAAAATTGACCCATGCTTGGCTTTCTTTTCTTTTCTTTTCTTTTCTTTCCTGAAATCACTACATGACTTTTTACCAGGAAGTTGTGTATATAACCATGTACCACCACGTGTGAGCTTGCCATTTTAGTAGGTTCTCGAAACATACGAAAACAACAACATATAATTGGGACTTTTATGGATTTATCAAAAGCGTTTGATATGCTGAGTTATATTTTTCTTTAAAAGCTTCAAGTTTATGGAATTCAAGGAGTTGCTCTCTCATTGTATAAAGATTATTCATCATTCCGGCATCAGTACGCGGTGCACATTTTTATCAGAATATCGTACAATCAAATATGGAGTCCCACAAGGATCAATATTAGGTCCCTCATTTGTATTATTATATCTAAATGATAGAACTAATGCATCACCCCTTTTATCGTTTTTACTTCATGTGTGTTTGCCGACGACATCAACATTTTTTTTTCTCATTAGGATTTGGATGCCCTTATTCAAATTTAATATATATATATATATATATATATATATATATATATATACTAATCAAAAGGAGCATACTGTTTTATCTCTTTATAAACAAGCTGCATACACTTTAAACTTATATATGTGCATGCCCCTAATTTTCCTTAGAGTATTGTAATTGATAATATAACATCAGAACGTAAGAGGTATTCAAAATTGTTTGTTAGGTATCCCTATTGATGAAAGTGTCGGCTGGAATAAACACATACGACATATAATTACATGCATTTGTACGAATATTGGTGCTCCTACAAAGACCAAAAGTTATCTTCCTACAATATCCCCTACCCCCCCCCCCCCCCCCGACCCCGACAACGAAAACTTTTTAGAAAATTACATCTTCGTAGTTGTCATTGGACTACAAACGGAAAAATGTTGTTTTCCGGGGGTAATGTCCGGTAGGGAAATTGAACAAGATTTGTCCGGTAGGGAAATTGAACAAGATTTGTTTAGTATGGTTAGATAGTTTATCATATATACCTCAGTAGACTTGATGAGAGCTACAATCCCAAACGGCAAACAGCAGCAGAGTGTGACAAAGAGAGCTAAGCCAAAGTAGTCATTCGGCGCTATTCCCGTGCTCACATGTATTATGTTTTGTTGGACCGGCTGTTGGACCTGTTTGAATTCACAATTATATTGTAAATCATTAGCCTAGGATAATACATCGATTGCTTTTTCTTTGTTAACACTAAAATACGGCTTAACTGAGCCTTGGGTTACTATACAGTGCGTCCCAGAAAAAACGAAACCGAGAATTATCGATGTTTCATCACAACTTAATCGCAATTATAATTAATAAATGACACATATTTTAAAAGTTTAGATCCTCTTCTTTCATTTGATGTAACTCATAAGATGCATATTTCACGCAGAAAGGAAATCAACAATAATTTGACGGGCGGTATCTGAATTTCAAAAAGAAAATAATATTTCTAGAAAGTTCAATTTCAGCCCTTTCATATGACATCTCAATCAGGAAAAATGAGCCAGGAAAATCAAAGTTCTGTTTGTTTACAGTAATGCTTGCATTTCCATAGTTTGATTAAACGAGTTCATTTTTACTGGCTTCCTTCCGTAGCAACAAACAGAGTTGACAAAAAACTTAAAGGTAAAGACCAGTTATGGTCAAGCGATTGCATTGTGAAAGAAACGTTGTGGAATCGATCAGAAAAGGTTGATCATCTAGCATCTAGCATCTGCAAGGTTCTGGAATAATCAAAATGATAAGAAATTTGGCCCATTCTTTGTAAAGTTACAAGCACTATACACAGAAAGATGTATATGAGACTACCCTATATCTCTCACAAACCATGAGAGAAACAAATGTACCAAATATATGAATTAGTAGGCGGTTTCCCGGCAAATTTGTTATCATCATGTATTAGTCAAAACATATTCTTTCACATGATTGGTAATGAGAGCTTCCATTTCATTTTTTGAAATTGGGGCGTTTCCAATACTGGTCTTTACCTTTAAGTCCGTTTCGTTGACGATCAGGCATGCATCAATTCTTTTGTCTCTCTCTCTCTCTCTCTCTCTCTTTCTCTCTTTCTCTCTTTCTCTCTCTCTCTCTCCTCCTCCTCCCTCTTCTTCCTTTACCTGACATCTGCCCTAGTCTCCCTTCTGTCTATCTGTCCCCTCTCTCTGACTTTCCTTCTCTGTCATCTATCCTAGTCTCCCTTATTTCTATCTCTCCTCTCTCTCTCTCTCTCTCTCTCTCTCTCTTTCCTTCTCCCCTCTTTCCAGTCATCTGTCCTAGTTTCACATTTTTCTATCTCTCCTCTCATTGTCTTTCCTTCTCCTTCTATTTTCCTTTTCTGTCACCTGTGCTCTTTCTATCTCTCCTTTTCCTCTCTCTCTTTCCTTCCCCTCTCTTTTCTGTCACCTGTGCTAGTCTCCCTTATTTCTATCTCTCCTTTTACTCTCTCTCTCTCTCTCTCTTTCCTTCCCCTCTCTTTTCTGTCACCTGTCCTAGTCTCCCTTCTGTCTATCTCTCTCTCTGACTTTCCTTATCCCTCTCTTTCCCTCGCCTGTTATCTGTCCTAGTCTTCCTTCTTTCTTTCTCTCCCTCTCTTTCCTTCTCCCTCTCTTTCCCTTTCCTGTCATCTGTCCTAGTCTCCCTTCTTTCTAATTCTCCTATCTCTCTGTTTCCTTTCCCTCTTTTTCCTTCTCCTTCACTTTCCCAGTTTCTCTTATCTCGTCCACCCTCTCCATAGGGTTCTCTCTCCTACATGTGTTTTACCTGAATCACCTGCGGCTGGGGGGCATAGGTGCCTGGTTGCTGCTGAGGGGCATATGTGCCTGGTTGCTGCTGAGGGAATTGTGCAGCCTGCGGAAATTGAGAAGGCTGTTGCATAGGGTACTCAGAAGAGTTCGGAGGTGGGTAAGGGTTCTGTGGTGGAGCTGAGCTTGGAATCGCATTACTCTCATCGTAACTAGGAGGGGTATCATGACCGACGCTCTCCACGTCACAACCTTCATTGATGAGTTGCTTGTATTCTGTAATGAATATGATAAAGTGTTCAAACAAATTGTTTAGAAATGACGTCAAATACAGGCTAGAAAATACAGGCTGTGAAAGGCAAATTGGCAGCACAGGGTCGATTTACATATTCTGTTTTGCATTGAAAAGCACAAACTGCCTTTGAAGAGCTTTAACGTGTAACGATGAAAACACACTGTGGAAACACCAACCGAAAATCATAGCCCCCAAATACAAGATACATATCCATATACATGTGAATACATTATCCTTATCACACCGTGTAAGCACTGTGTAAAGCCACTACAGCCACAGTTTTCATAATTGTAAAGGCTACCTGACCACAATGCTAGATTATTGATATAGGTGACGCGATGCGGGATCCCGCTTTGTCGGAGTACAAAACCAGAACCAGAACCAGAACAACGTCAATATACGCATCATAAATCATTCTATTTCTACTCCCATTGTATAATGATGTGTTCTTTATGGTATGAAATGCTCATCTCTTGAGACTGATTGCAACACGACAGGCTTTATATTCATTTATTTCCGAATTAAAAAATATGTTTCTTGATATTACAATTCAATGATGGCAGTGAGATAAAAAAACGTCACGTTTCAGTTAATGCACTTTATAATGTTTTTCCCCTCCCCTTCTCTTCTCCCCCCCCCCCCCCTGTATTTGTGTTTCGGTTTTCTCTGCTTTTCTTTTCTCAACAATACAGTGCATATTTGTTAAGGGGTTGACGCCAGGGTGGAAGTTCATGAGGCTAATTGCCCTTTTTGTTAACCCCACATTCCCATGAAATTTTGTTTGCTCCTTTGCTTTGTATTTTTCTTGTTATCGATCTTTTATCTGTATATCATGTTTGTATGTTTTAATGTTTGTATGGAGAATGAAATTAATGAAATGAAATAAAAGATCATATCAAGAACCTTTTGGGGGGATGAAATTACGACAATGTCACATGTCATAACGTGCAGTAGACATTGTACCGGATCGTGCTTTAATAATAATAATAATAATAATAAAAATGGCTACTTGAATAGCGCACAGGTCCACCTTTCGGTGCTCATGGCGCTTAGAGAAAAGGACATTTAAAGGCCCACTGCACTACTTGTAGCTACTTGCGCCCTCTATATAACAACCAATGCCTAATCGGTGACCATTGGTCCCCCATGATCCTCTTTTTCTCATGTTAACTGAGAGCTGAGTTGATGAGATAACCACCTGTCCAGTGACCTTGCAGAGCGCTTTAATCCCTCCTGTAAGCTATGGCAAATAAGCTTTAACAGAAATAAGAAAGAAAAACATCAATAAACCGAAAAACAAAATTCGAAATTCTCCTAGACATGGTAAATTAAAATATTACAATATTTACAACGAAAGAAACAAATAAGTTTTCAGTTGTAATTTGAATGTTTCTGTTGACGACACTTGGCGTATTTGTATGTCATGACACAATGTCACGTGTCATGACGTACGGTAGACATTGTACCGGATCGTGCTTTAGTGACAATGTCACATGTCATGACGAACAGTAGACATTGTACCGGATCGTGCTTTAGTGACAATGTCACATGTCATGATGTACAGTAAACATTGTACCGGATCGTGCTTTAGTGACAATGTCACATGTCATGACGTACAGTAAACATTGTACCGGATCGTGCTTTAGTGACGATGTCACGTGTCATGACGTACAGTAGACATTGTACCGGATCGTGATTTAGTGACAATGTCACATGTCATGACGTACAGTAGACATTGTACCGAATCTTGCTTTAGTGACAATGTCACGTGTCATGACGTACGGTAGACATTGTACCGGATCGTGCTTTAGTGACAATGTCACATGTCATGACGTACAGTAGACATTGTACCGGATCGTGCTTTAGTGACAATGTCACATGTCATGACGCGCAAATTTTTTTTACACGCTAGCCTGGCCATTTCTATGATAAATACCATGGAAACGACTAATATTAGAGTCTAGCAGCATACATGAGAGGTGCATCAGGCCAAAAAAAAAAATTGTTTGGTTGTCCTCGATTGCTTTTCTGGAGTAGGGGCGGGCGGGCGGATTTTTTTTTTTTTTCTCCATTCTTTTTTTTTTTTTAATATTTTTTTTTTCCATAAAAAAATAATCATTGGGATTGTCAAGCATTTAAACAAACACAGTCTATAAAATACTTTAATATGGTAAAAGACTAGTTTAATGTACAATGAATATCAAGACCAACACAGAAAGTAATTTGAGCTTTGAAATACAGCACCTTTTAAAATCTCCATTGTACTACTTATAGCTACTCGCGCCCTCTATGTAGCAAACAATGCCTAACCGGTGACCATTGGTCCCCCATGATCCTCTTTATCTTATATTAACTGAGAGCTGATTTGATGAGATAACCACCTGTCCAGTGACCTTGAAGGGTGGTCTAATCCCTCCTGTAAACTAGTACAGATGGGCTTTAAAATGAGTTTAAGAATGCTCAGAACCTGATTTGAATGAACGGCATTTTGACATAGAAAAATAAAAATGGCAAGTTTAATATATACCTAATTGCGTACTGAAAAGTCAAAACTGGCAACGGGACGCATTTTGATCCTTGCAAATGCATAAAATGGTGTGTTTGGCATTTAAGATTGCTCCCCCTAAACAATTAAATTTAAAAGAATAAAAATTAAATTAAAAAAATTGAATTAAAAACAAAAAAAATGAATTAAACAAAAAAACAAAAAAAATGCGAGCGGCCCGAAAATGACGAGCGGGCGGTCGAGGACAACCAAATGATTTTTTTTTTTTTTTTTTTTTTTTTTTTTTGGGGGGGGGGGGCCTCATCATGCATGACAGTCGTCAGATCAAGCCCTACTTGGTACTTGGTTGTTGTTCCTCCAAAAGATTCCTAGTGGAATTTAAACTGGAGGTCGTGGTGGCAGAGGGTGGACTTATTTCCCTAGCTGGCCCTTGTAAATGAGACGGCCATCGTAGCCATCGGGCGATGGAATTCACAAGCTTAATTTAATTTAATTTAATTTCGGAACTTTATTTTAATCTTGATCTAAGGAGACACGAACGAACGAACGAACGATCATAGCAGCTAGCGAGCAACCAAGTCCACTAACTGCGTGCATGCCTATTATTATGTAGGCTTTCCCACCAGCGCACGTTTACGAGTATTACGGGAAAAGTGGCCAGGCTAGCGTGTAAAAAAAATATTCGCGTACTGGACGGTATATGTTATTCCGTGCCTAAACTCAACAAGGACGGTATAGTGCCTAAACTCAACAAGGTCGGTATAGTGCCTAAACTCAACAAGGACGGTATAGTGCCTTAACTCAACAAGGACGGTATAGTGCCTAAACTCAACAAGGACGGTATAGTGCCTAAACTCAACAAGGACGGTATAGTGCCTAAACTCAACAAGGACGGTATAGTGCCTAAACTCAACAAGGACGGTATAGTGCCTAAACTCAACAAGGACGGTATAGTGCCTAAACTCAACAAGGACGGTATAGTGCCTAAACTCAACAAGGACGGTATAGTGCCTAAACTCAACAAGGACGGTATAATGCCTAAATTCTACAAGGTCAGTATATGTTATTATATACCTCACTTAAGAAATCCAGCCATCTGATTGGTCGAATTGCATTCATAAACTTCAACTGTTCCTGTAAAATTCCCGGTAACCATGCTTAAAACATATCAATATTTTTAATAACCATGGTTATTAAAAAAAATAGGTCAGTCTCCATGGTTACCCCATAGGTTTACATGTTAAAAAATGGTTTGAGCGATGGAGGATACCATACGTGTGCGAAAAATTGGTCGGCAATTTCAATACAATTCTCGCTACCCCAAATAGCGATTCTGCCGAGATCCGGGGAAAATCCTGAAATCCGCATTGCATTATGGGATAGCTTTTCGACATTACAGCTTCCTGTGCAGGCGTTCGTGATCACAACCCTCTCTTTCACGGTAGAGTTTAACGGCCTTTTGTGCTAAAGTCACTAATTTTGCCCGAAGCTTTCCATTGCATATTATAATCTGTACCAATTACACTGATTGGCATCGATTTTAGCGTGCGTGAAAACTCTGCACAGCGAACACAGGCGCTAGCGCCAGCGGGATGGGACTCTATACCGGAAGTTGTAGTGACGACCCGAGAGAGTGAAAATTACCTCGTCTCGCGAATTTCGAGATTTTCGTACCTATTTAGGGTAGCGAGAATTGAATCTCGATCGATCTTACCGACAATTTTATCTTGCATTGTTGACATGAAGACGAAAATTAACTCTCAAAAACAAAAAAACAACATCTGCCGATAGATCTTGATCTAAGTTCGTGCCAATATGCATTGCAAAAGTAAAAGAAGGGTCCGTTTCATGGAGCTTTTGCGAAGCATCCCTCACGCGGAGCCGTTTTCAATCCATTTTAATGTATATATTGGAGAAAACTGCCAAGCATGTTAACGGCGCGCGATAGCCGAGTGGTCTAAGCGTTGGTTTTCGATACACCTCTTGTTGTACGACAAAAATGTAAATTATTTTTTATTTTTTATTTTTTAGTCTTTTTTTTTTCGGCATATAAAAGTATTAATGACTGCTTTAATATTCGAGAAATAGTTGTTTTCATATGCTCTCGGGAAGGTTACAATTGGGCTATTCCCCTCGGCAAGCCTCGGGGAATAGCACAATTCTAACCTTCCCTTGAGCGTAATAAAACAACTATTTCTCTCAAAGCAGTCATTAATACTATATTCAGTGCCTTAAAGATAAAGTTGAGTTCTGGTCATGCGATTGCATTGTGAAAGAAACGGTGTGGAACCGACCAGAAAAGGTTGATCATCTAGCATATAAGAATTTGTGTGTATTGCAAGGTTCTGGAATCATCAAAATGATAAGAAATTTGGCCAAGTCTTGGTAAAGTTACAAACACTTGCACAGAAAGATGTATATGGGACTACACGAACACGTGACGTAAAAAGCCGGCCCCCGATTTTTACGATGTTGCATGCATATTTAGAATATGAAGGCATTTGAAGAGCCATGCTTTTCAGGGAACATGTCTTAACTGATGTTCTTCCACACTTGCATAATAAGAACGAGTAATGCTCACAAATTATTGTTCACCTCTTCCCAGAACTCAACCTTCTACACTGTTTAAATAGACATGATTGATCAAATATGAGTGGGACATTAATATTATCACCCTTGGTAATTCAATAAGAATGGTTTATTTCATAAATACGGATATTAAACTGACTCAAATAATTATGTCAATCCTATATACTTAATCATTCAAATGGAACGTACATACAATGAATGACGTAGGACAAGTATCTGCGGTTTCAGAGCAATGACTTGGTAAAGTTAACACGTACAGGAAATCAGACACAGCCATACTATCCTTAAAACGGGGTATATATATCTTCTTTTTCATTTTCCATCCTTATTGACTATTGGATTACTTCACTTACTTCTTTACGATATATGCTAGAGCTTCGCTATAATAGTAAGATTGTTGAATATTGGTATAATATTTTAATTTTCATTAAACTTTCATTTCTGTAACTGTGCAATTGCAATTTACCCACTATGAACAATTTAAAAAGACAGAAAATGAAAACGCAATGTTATTCACCACAAATTATAAATATATGACTATTATAAACAATTAATTGTTTTAATGTTGTTATAGTTCTTTTAAAAATAAAATTTAGCCCATCGAATCAAGAAGCTTGAATATTGAATTAAATATCGTAAAATAAAGAAATGATGCTCGTTGACCAAACTAGTAAGTCTGGCATCTCTTAAAAAACTCTTATATCGAAGTATCTACATAACTGATTTCAACATGCAGTAGGCAATTGTCATTGATAATCTCAAATTTTGGTGACATTGCGTCTCAGTTTTCTTGGTTTCCTTAATTGAAAAGGCTATTTTGTTTCGACTCCACTATACAACAAAGAGTTACGTGCACTTCCACTATTCTTTACTATTTATCTATCTAAGTATCTTCTCCCGGTTTGGAGGTTGATTCCAACATCTCTCCATTTCACTCTATCTTCTGCCATTCTGGTGCACTTTTGCAGTTTTAATTCAGTCCACTCCAGTTCTTGACATTGTCTTCTCAATTTATTCTGGGTCTTCCTCTCGGTCTACTTCCTTCCACTTTCTTTCTAACACATCCTTTAAGAGGCTTTGGTGCCTTTTAACGTGACCAAAGTGTTTGATTTTTTTCTCCTTAACTAATCCTACTAGTGCAATTTGTTTACACCCTGCCATGTGCAATATCTCTCGAGGATATTTTTATCATTCTTCTATAAATCCACATGTCAAGAGATGTTATTCTTTTTTCCATTGCCTTTTTCTTCGTTACACACACATACAAACACGCACGCTCGCACGCACATGCACACATACACACAACTGGAAAAATGCAGAAATCAAATCAAATCAAATCATATACACTTGAAAATACTTTTTTTTCTTCATAGTGTGACGCACTTGGACGCATGAACACAGAAGTAATCATTGGATCACTAATATACGATAGGGAAGGAAATAACAAATAGGCCTATTGAATAACCTTTTGGTATGTAATTTTATACCAAGGCAAATAAATCACAATAAGGCAGTGGTAACTATAATATGTTTTAACAGTTCACAGACACTATGACAAAACAATAGATCACACAATTTAAGGCAGTGATAACTATATGTTTTAACAGTTCACAGATCCTATGACAGCACAGTAGGTCACAAAATATAGAAACCTCCACTTCATTAATCCTCCTCCCTTGTCCTTGTATTACTGTTATCATGACTGTTTATTAGAATGATTATTTAATAGTAGTAGTAGTAGTAATGCTAGTAGTAGTAGTAGGAGTAGCAATAGTAGTAGTAGTAGTAGTAGTAGTGGTAGTAGTAGAAGTAGTAGTGCTAGTAGTAGTAGTAGGAGTAGCAATAGTAGTAGTAGTAGTAGTAGTAGTAGTAGTAGTAGTGCTAGTAGTAGTAGTAGTAGTAGTAGTAGTAGTAGTAGTAGTAGTGGTATTAGTAGTAGTATTAGTAGTAACAGTAGTAGTAGTAGTAGTAGTAGTAGTAGTAGGAGTAGTGGTATTAGTAGTAGTAGTAGTAGTAGTAGTAGTAGTAGTAGTAGTAGTAGTAATAGTAGTAGTAGTAGAAGTAGTAGTAACAGTAGTAGTAGTAGTAGTAGTAGTAGTAGTAGTAGTAGTAGTAGTAGCGGTACGTTTATAAAATCAGGCCTTTAAAGGTTATCATGATTGGTGTTGTTTGGCGTTATTGCATGGGCGCTTGTCTCAACATATGGGCTCAAAAGTCTTATTATTACAGTCACGGGTTCTCGGGTGCTCGGGTGCTCGGGGCCTCGGGGACAGCGGACAGGTATAGGTTGGCTATCCTTAAACGCCTTCAATGGTGTAGGTAGGATTCAATGGGTAGAATGCCGGTGACTTCAGGATAGGTTCCTGGCCTTACACTACAGAGCTATAGATACTACGATCGAACATATATACCTTTGAACAAGATGATCTAAGCTGAACCACGAATCTACACATACCTGTCCGACCATCCTGTTGACAACATGCATAATAAAACATTATAACTTCAAATCAAATAGATCAAATACAAAGTCCATGTCTTACCAGACGCCATCCTGATGGTTGTTCTTCACTCACACTAAACGATGTAATGTGACTATGCGAGAGAGATGATTTGAACTGTGCTTGATATTAATACGTCGCACTTAGTGAAACTCGTCTATCTACTTGAATGGGTAAAGCGTGTAGAATGACAATGGCTTTCATACCGTAATAACTAATATCCGTTTCCTGGCCTTGATGATCAATATGTGCACAGAGTGTCATTCAGGGAATTTTGTAATTAATACCGGAATGGGTTAAAAACATGTACAAAGTACATTGGCATAGGCAATGTTGGGTTCAACTACAAATTAAAATGACAGGGGCGGCGGAGCGTGTATCAAAGCAGGGGTGCACCAGCAATCAAAGGGCACTTTCTGGAGAGAAAAAAGGGAGGCCGCCTAGAAAGGGTAACCTTAAAGTGACTCGGTAACATTGTCTCAGACTCTGAAACAAAATCCTGCATTTAGCTCATGCTGCAATGATAATTATAAACCCTTAGATCAGTCAGGAACCGCGTAACTTTAATAAGCCGATCGCCTGTCTGATTATCAAGATATTTATGATTGGAATTCGAAATCAAATTTTCCGTTTTCTTAACGGTTTTTATTACACAACAGTCTATTGGGGAAAGGGGTTTTTGCTTTTTTGAGGCACTTCATGATCACTTTCAAGCGCATTTAGTTTAGAGCTTCAACATTACACCATATCTAACACACTGATAACACGTAGGGCCATGCATCTCAGATCAGATTTTACGTTGTTGAACGATGCCTTTAAAGCGAATATTTACAATCTTTAAACATTGTATATACCCCTATATATATATACCATGCATATAATTGTAATGTATATATCACTAAAGATGACCATAACATTAATCTGTGCTGTTGTATACGTTGTACAAGACACTGCTTCAACAGCATACTCTGCTGTATGTGTGATGGTCTTAACATTCATGAGCAAGCGAGAGCATTTCTTAAAAGATGTATAGGGCACATTGCTACCAATTAGACCCATTATTAGTTGAAATAATCGATTCTCGTGGAGTTTTAAGCCTGCCTAGTTTGGCAAGGGGGATTAGACCTCCCTGCAAGGTCACTGACAGGTGGTTATCTCATCAAATCAGCTCTCAATTAACATAAGAAAAAGGGGATCATGGGTAGCAAATTGGCACCGATTATGCATTGTTTGCGTTATAGAGGGCGCAAGTAGCTATAAGTAGTGCAGTGGGGCTTTAAGCACAGTATCATGAACCATAGAATAAGAACTTCATTAATGAAATAAACAATAATGCGAGGGAATGTAGCGAGTCATCAGTTTTGAGGGAAATTTGAGCAGAATTACTTTCAGTCGCTAATACTAGGCACACATAATCATGAGGAGGCTATATGAGAAATGTATTGATTCTCGGGAGATGAGGGTTGATACGAACACTTTGTCATATTAGGGTAGTTAAACAGTTGCTTTGAGTTTGAGAAATTCCTACATTGGCATTCTAGGAAGTTCTAAGGGGCTTTGGGCTTAATGGATGATAGGTTGGAAATCACCTTTTAGCATTTGAATAGTGACAAACTATTAAGTCTTAAGAGAGGGCGCATTTCTTATATTAGGTACCTAGAGATTAAATAGATTTGAAAATGAGCATTAGATATGTCTAAAAGAGACAGTTCCCTATACTACATAAACTGTTTCGATTCTTTGAAACTGGAATTTGCTCTTTAGATGGACGATAAAGAGCATAATTTGAAGAGGACAGAGGGAAATATAATTAAAAAGGGCACTTATCAAAAGGAATTCTAAGAGAGAAATTATCATACTTGAAAGGGGTACTCATCAGAGATGAAAAAGGGGTACGTATACGATTTGGATAGGAACAATTATTGGAGGTAGAAAGAGACATTTTATAAGAAAGAGGAATGGGCTCTAACTAGGCGTTTTGGCGTGCGCCTGTAATCCAGCTTAAAGTGGAAGTTACAAACTGATTCAGGACGTAGGACGTAGGTTCGAAACTTAGTCACGTCTTTCGGATGATGACGTTTAAAGGTCGGTCCCCAGACGTAAATAATCATATGTAGAGGTGTAGTGGTCGAGTGGATAGGTCGCCGGACTGTCGATCACAAGGTCCGCGGTTCGAGTCCCGCCGCCGCACTAATGTCCTTTGGTAAGACATTGATCTACATTTGCCACACTCCACCCAGGTGAAGTAAATGGGTACCTGGTAGGAATTTATTCCTTGAAACGCAGCGCGCGTAGCAGCTGCACTGCTAAAACCAGGGTAATTATGCTGCATTATTGTAGAGCGCTTAGAGACTTCTGATAAAGTAAGTTTTAGGCGCTATATAAGCAAGGATAATTATTACATCTGATTGATACACGTTTGTAAAAACCTAATACACACACATGCACACTCGTATTTCGAAAAGGGGCACTCATCAGATGTAAAAAGGGTAACTTCACCCCCCCCCCCCCCCCCCCGTATCTTGGCACTTTAAGGCACTTTAAGGTAGGAGAAAGGGGCATTTATTACAAAGGAAAGTGACCACTTGACAAAGTAAAAGGGTTAGAATGAATTTAGATTAGAATAGGGGAACTTATCGGATGTTAAAAGTGGCAACATGACGAGGAAGGAAAAGGGGCACTCATGAGAGAGTAAATAGGGCACTTATCATGACCATTTTTCCTAAGTAAAAAGGGGCAATTTGGATTAGGGTTACTCGATCATAGTCAGTAATCTTGGGATATTTTTTCACTTAAACAACCCAAACTCCTTCTTCCTGTGTGTCTCTCCCTCTCTCTCCCTCTCTCTCCCTCTCTCTCCCTCTCTCTCTCTCTCTGTTGATTTTAATTTTTATTATGCTACCCAACATGGAGTATGTCAATGTACTTTAAATATGTTTTCAACACATTCCAGTATTGAGTAAAACAATGCAGTGTCTTACACTCAGTGCATAACATGGTTACCGTTGACAGGAAACAGTTATTATTGTGTGAAAAACATTTTTTTCTAGATTTTAGTATACATTCTCATATTTTATTAAATAATAATTTGCCAGTGTTTGTTTTGCGTGACTGCTAAAGCATGTGTATGCTTATCAACTAGGGGACCTACGCCCTTTAGTCATAAATGACAGTAATGAGAATTAACTTAATGCCCCACAAAAGGGCACTAATATAGCACATCGACACGGTTTTGATCATGGGGCCTTACAGTTACGAGGCCATTGCTTTGCCATTGAACCATGACAGTACGCAGCGGGGGCTCAAAACCGTGTCGATGTGCTATATTAGAGCCCTTTTGTGGGGCACTTATCCTAATTATCGTCATTTATGACTTAAGGGCGTAGGCCCCCTAGTTGATAAGCAAATTAGCATACACGTGCTTTAGCAGTCACGCAAAACAAACACTGGCAAATTACTATTCAATAAAATCTGAGAATGTATACTATTATCTAGATCTATTTTCATTGTCAAAATAATTCCATAAATTGGGGTAACAACATATTCCAACGTTATGAGCGACAGTGTATATTCACATGTATATGGATATATATTTTATCTTTTATTTAGGGCTATTTAGGGCTATGTTTTTCGGTTGGTGTTCCCACGGTGTGTTTTCATTGTTCCATGGATTTAGAACTTTTCAAAGGCAGTTTGTGCTTTCATTTCCTAGCCTGTATGTGATGTCATTTTTTAAACAATACTCTTAAACTCTTTGTCATATTCATTACAGAATACAAGCAATTATTCACCAATGAAGGTTTTGACGTAGAGGGCGGTGGTCATGGAACCCCTCCTAGTTACGATGAGAGTAATGCGATTTCAAGCTCAGCTCCACCACAGAACCCTTACCCGCCTCCGAACTCTTCTGAGTATCCTATGCAACAGCCTTCTCACTTTCATCAGGCTTCACAGCTCCCTCAGCAGCAACCAGGCAGCTATGTACTCCAGCCGGAAGAAGTTCAGGTAAAACACCTAGATGGCAAAAAAGAGAAAGAGAGAAAGATAGACTGAGGGGAGGCTGGGAAAATGAAGAAGGAGAGAGGAGGAGGGAGGGAGAGAGAGAGAGAGAGAGAGAGAGAGAGGGGGGGGGATAAAAGAGATTACAGGACAGGAAAGAAAAGGGAAGAGAAAAAGAGAGATAAATCGATTGTAGGGAGGCTGATTGAGATCAGAGAGAACATATGGAGATGGAAAGAAAGAGAGAGAGAGCGGGAGAGATAGAAAGAAGAGAGACTAGAAAAGATGAACGGAAAAGAGAGAAGAAGGGAATAAAAAAAACGTGAGACTAAGGGAAAGTTGAAATGGAAAGAGAAGGAGAAGGAAAGAGAGGGAGAAAGAAAAAGGGAGGGAAAGAAAGAAAGAAGGAAGGGAGAGTATATGGAACATGTAAAGAAAGGGAAAGAGAAGGAGAAGGGGAAAGAAAAATAGAGATAGATAGCCTAAGGGAAGGATGAGAGAGATAACAAAGAAATGGAAAGCGAAGGAGAAGAAAAGAGAGAGGGAGAGATGGAGAGAAAAAAAGAAGAGAGTCCAGGAGAGATGACAGGGAAGGAAAGAGAAAAGGAGCGATATATATAGACTGAGAGGAGGCATGGAGAGATAAAAGGGAAAGAGAAGGAGAAGGAAAGGAAAAGAGAGAAGAGATATAGAATGAAGGATTACTAGGGAGATGAAGGAAAGGAAAAGAGAAGGGAAGAGAAAAATAGAGATAGATAGACAGAGGGGAGAATGGGAGAGCTAAGAGAAAAAGAAAAGAGAAGGAGAAGGGAAAAGAGAGACAGAGAGGGGGGAAAAGGGGGAAACTAGGAGAGATGACAGGAAATTGAAAGAGAGGGAAGGAGAAAAGGAGAGATAAGAGAGAAAGGGAAAGAAGAGGAGAAGGAAAGAGCGAGAGAGAGAGAGAGAGAGAGAGAAAAAAAAAAAAGAGAATTCAACAGCATTTGACGTTGATTATAAAAACAAAATTAACTTCCCACTATGATAATTATTTTTCTTTTTTGTAAAATCATGATAAATTTATTCAAAAAAATATGTAGTCGGGCCAGGAGATTTAATCTCTTAGATACATATGGCAGGTGCTATGGCTCACAAACCTCTGTCAACTACTTTATCTAAATGTCCCCGTTTACCAAATAAGTGTACATAAAACTTTGTAGATGCATCGGAATGACATATATATATATATATATATATATATATATATATATTTAGTTAAACTTGCTTTGAACCAGTAGAATACGTAAATTGTAATGGTCTTGTAACTTACAAAAAACGATAAATCTTTGCAAGTTAATGATGATTTTATGGAAAAAAATCCTATTTTCTTGGAGCGATTCATCTTTTTCAGATAGTCCTTTCAGAATTTAGTCATAATCAAATTATATGGAATACATCATGTGTCTAGTTAAGTTATTCTATACTCTTTAGAAAGGATTGAATAAACAGAGAAATTATTAGAATTCTTCATTTACTGCAATGTAATGGTACTTTTGTCACATATTTTGAGTTTGTAATAAATTCAATGTTCATTGTGATTTTCTAGAATGTCATTCAACTATATTGGCTATACCTATAAAATTGAAGCATTTGTGCTCAAACCCACCTTAAGAAATATTCATCACTAAGAAAAAATTGATTTGCTGCTTGAGAAAGATAACTAATGTGTGTAAACTAATTCAAAATTTGTTTGTTGACTTTACAAGTTCCAGTTTCCCAAAAGAAATGGGAAGGTATTTAACATTGTTATAATGAAGGTGTGGAAGAACATCAGAGAAAAAAAATCCCGGAAAAGCATGGCTCTTCAAATGCCTTCATATTCTAAATATGACAAGAAACAGCTTAAAAATGATGCCCGATTCTTATGCCACATGTTTGTGTAGTCCCGTTTACATCTTTCTGTGTACTACGGTCCTTGTTACCTTTATCAAGACTTGGCCAAATTTCTTACCATTTTGGTGATTCTAGAACCTTGCAGTACACACCAATATATATATATTACATGATCACCTTTTCCTGATCGATTCCACACCGTTTCTTTTCACAATGTAATCGCTTGACCAGAACTCAACTTACCTTTAAAGACTGTTCGTATATGATTCTGATTTATGTACTTTTTGTTCAGAAGAAATTGAATCTATTAAACACTTATGTTTGGATAGCCACGTAATAGCCACGTAACTCGCCGATTCTTAGAGGATTTTGAAAAATATAGCCTCAAAAATGAAAATAAGTTAACATGTTATGACTTTATCTTTGGCATCCCAGATGGAAATTGTTCCTCTTTTAATTTCGTCATTTGGTATGCAAAATATTATATATTTTCAACTGGATATTTGAAGGGATCTCTATCATTTACATGTTTTCAACAGAAAATAATATATCATTATGACGTTTATTGGTATATGGAAGTACGTTCAACTTATCTAAATACTAACATTTTATTTGGCCACTTTTTCCTTTCTTTGTCAAATGTATGTATCCATCATTTTGTACATCTGCTTAAACATGTATTGGTTTATTGTTTAAGAAAAAGTTGAATAAAGACTGCATTCGAAGACAGAACAGGACAAAAATATATGGACCACGATAAAAAAAAAACATGATATTTGCTAATGCAAGAAAGACGCGTACTTTTCACAGCATATTTGCTGAATCTGTTTTTTTTTTGTTTTTTTGTTAAGATACCATAAATGCGGACCTTATAATTTATTAGATTAATATGCATGTCAGCAAAACGTTTAATGATTAACATTTGTATTGCCTTGGGTAAAACACCAAATGTATCTCTATGAATACTCATTAAAGACCTATATTCACAATGGTGTTTCTCGTAGACCGTTTTTTGTTTATTTCAATTCAACTCACTCTTAGAAAATGCTTTGAAAGGAAATATGTATAAGCGGGTTGTAAAACGGATGTAAGACATATTTCAATATGTGCATATTTTGCTACAGATTTTGTTTATAAGGATGACTGTGACGTCATATCAAAATAATGTACGTACAGGGTCATACGTGTCAGCTCACATTTTTCTCTACCTTATTATGTCTTCCCTACCCCCTCCCCCAACAAACACACAAACACATACACACATACAAACACACACACACACTCTCTCTCTCTCTCTCTCTCTCTCTCTCTATATATATATATATATATATATATATATATCTTGCTCTATTCTCAAAGTCCCTCTTTTGCTTTCTTCATATTCGTTTTTTTCTTCAATTCCAATGTATTTTACTTTGAAAGCAGCAAAGACGGAATACCAAAAGCGTCGTTTAAAGATTAACAACACTATACATCTAAAATATGTAGAAGAGGCATGACAAATTGAAATGCATATGCCTAGATGAAATATCTGCATACAATTCTTAAAAGTTGGGTAGCAGCAACAAAAAAAAAGGGAGCAGCCCTTATAAGTGACCGACAAAATAAAATAACTTGTACCTGTATTGCGGGAATAAAAAAGAAGGTTATTATTTATACCCCCGGCCCCTATTTCTGTCTCCCGACTTGCTAGTCTCTATTTCTCTCTTCATTTCCCCCTACGCCCTCTACCCTCACACTGTCCTTCTCACTCTCTCTCTCTCTCTCTCTCTCTCCCTCTCCATAATCCCTCTCTCTCTCTCTCTCTCTCTCTCCCTCTCCATAATCCCTTTCTCTCTCTCTCTTTCTCTCTCTCTAGCTGTATCTTTCTCTCTCTCTCTCTCTCCCCTCTCCCCCTCACTCTCTCTCTATCTCTCCTCCATGCAGTATTTATTTGAACTGCCTTGCTTTTAAACTAATATAGATGCCTTTCCTTATATTTATCATCATTCCGTCACGACTAAACAAATATTGAGGAATATTGTAAATAAAGTTATTTGACCTCTATTAGTCAAGAGCACGTGACAAGCAGTCTTTATCTCTGAGTTGTATGACGATATTAGATATGACTATGGAAGGACTTTGGACTAACAGGATTTAGAAATCCAATCTCTGAAACACTGATATTGCAACAATAGTTACATACGCATTGCATGAGCTGATCAACAAACACACAGGCTTTTATTCTTCGGTCGTCACTTTTAAGAACACAATATGCCAACTGGTAAGAATACTTTTTTCTTTTCCTATCAAATCTATAATACAACTCGAAGTCATCCCCTAATTGTTGCTAATTTGAGCGTCTTTCAATGAATTTCATCTAGGGCCTTTAGCATGCTTGTGAATTGTAGTTGGTCAAAGATTGCATAAACATCACGTATAAAATAGAAACGCGTTTACGTGTTACTTTGCGAGTATAAGAGAAAGGAGGGAGATAGAGAGAGGAGAGAGAGAGGAGAGAGAGAGAGATATGGAGAGGAGAGAGAGAGAGAGGGGGGAGAGAGAGAGACAGAGAAAGAGGGAGAGAGAGAGAGAGAGGGAGAGAGAGAGAGAGGGATAGAGATACACTAAAAAAAAAAGTGCTAAATTTAGCACTTAAAGATTCAATTTTAGCACTTTTTAGGAGCTCGCATAGTGACTGCACTCGAAGTGCTGAGTTAGCACTTGCACCCGGGCTACTTTGCTAGCACCCAAAGCAGCTGACTGTTGTGCACTTAAAGTGCCAAGTTTTGCTCTCTTTTGGGTGCTAGCAGAATAGCCCTTGTGCAAGTGCTAACTCATGCGTTGTTTGACATGCCCCATCTACATTTGGTATGTGGTCAAGGTGGATGTCCTTCGTCATTTACCACTTTCAACTCTTACAGGAAACATTTATTAAACCAACATCCACAAGAAGAACCTGAACCTGAAGTTGTACAGGGTATGGAGGGTCTAGTTGATGCTGATTTGGGTGTTGCTGTTGGTGAAGTGCATAATCCTGCAGCAGATGATGCATTTGATGATGATGATGATGATAGGATAGGCCTACTACAAGAACAAGATGGAGCAATGCATAATGACAGTACAAGACACTATGAATATGACAGACAATGAAAGCGGACAAAATATACAGTTCCTTAGGTAGACAAAGGAACATCCCTTCACTGCTATTATGTAAAAAGGTGAATATGCATGTGACACCTGTTCTACACATTTTTACATAATAGCAGTAAGGGATGTTCCTTTGTCTACCTGAGGAACTGTATATTTTGTCCGCTCTCATTGTCAGTCATGTTCATAGTGTCTTTTATCAAACACCAACATGACCCATGCTATGACAAACAGAGTGTTATCTGCTGCAACAGCTTTGAATACTGATGTTGTTGACAGTTTAAGGAGCAAAGTTATTCAGACTTTTGAGGCCTTGGGTATTGACCTGGAGAATGAAGAATGTAAGAATCTCTTAGCTGAATTTGATTCAAAAACAAATATTCACAAGGTAACAGCTATTATACTAACCGACCAATCAGATCAGGTTATGCAGTCAGCACTCGATGTTAAGTGCTGCATATTGCTATAGCACTCGTTTTCTGCACTCAAATATTCAGCACGTTTCGGTTTCCTTGTTAAAGTTAACCCGTCAAGTGCTGATTTTGGCACTTCAAGTGCAGAATCTCACTCAGCACCCAACATTTAGCACCTCAGTTTTTTGCGTGTAGGGAGAGGGAGAGAGAGAGACAGAGAGAGAGATAGGGAGAGGGGAGAGAGAGGGAGAGGGAGGGAGGGGGAGAGGGAGAGAGAGAGACAGAGAGGGGGAGGGAGAGAGACAGAGACAGAGATAGAGAGACAGAGAGAGAGAGAGAGAGAGAGAATTTGAATCAAAGGTCAAGTGGGTGATAGGTAGATGACATGACAGAGTTAGCTATTAACCCATTGCTTACTGGAACCAGATGGTCCCTGTGTTAAGTCTTGACGCTACTTCACTGGAGGGCTTCAAGGGAGCGCTTCCACCAAGCATCTAGACCAAGAACTAGATAGTTTATTCCTCAGCACTACATCCTGACTTATGGATCCTGCTGAGTATCGTCGCAGAAGTAGAAGTAGAAGTAGAAGTATCGGAATTACATAATTCAGTAGTCAACGGGTTAACAGAGAAGGGATGATAGGTAAAAATAGATGAGAGGAAATATTGAGGAGAAACACACTTCCGCGTACATTTTTTTCATGTGATGACAAGAGGTTCTTTGTCAGGTGACTTGTTTTGGTGATGAAATTATTGTGTGCATGTTAATAGATCTTATGCATGGTCGGCAAAATATAGATCATGACCCCCAAAAAGGACCCCTTTTTATATAGGAAAGGTGCCTTTTTCTACTTAAGATAAGTATTAATATTAATAATTTTGGGTTGTTGTTTCGCGCTCATATCTGTTAGTCTTGACACTCATGGTGCTCCACAATTATAAAACAGGTTTAGCATGGCTGCCATTACGGCTAGAATCCATTCCTGCCAGGTACACACTTACATCACCTTGGTTAGAGTGTAGCAAATGTAGATTAATGTCTTGTCAAAGGACATTTAGTGCCACGGCGGGACTCGAACCGCGGACCGTGTGATCCACAGTCCGGTGACGTATCCATTCGACCACGACACCTTTGATAAGTGTGCACCTTTTACGCTAAAACGTTTGTCTATATAAACTTTTCAACTACTTATAATTCCAAGGTAAATCAATCGTTCTCTGTTCAATGGAATTGGACTTATATAACCATATTATGCACATTTCATTAATGTTAATAAGACTGAGATTTCATTAGCATAACATGTTCAATACTACATTATAACATGCTAATCGGTGGGGTGACAAAACCTTGTATCTCAAAAATCATGAATTTTCAGGAGAGCGAACAAACTTTCCTGTCTTAACAGATTTAGTGCTGTGACACCGTCCTTTGTGTGGAATTTGTGAAAAAACCGAGACAGGAGGCGTCCATGGGTTTATCAGGTGGTGTAGTAGGCCATTAGGTACACAATTATGTCCAAAATAAATATCAGAATCTCAAAAAAATTGAGATACGAGGTTTTGTCACCACACCGACGATTATGTATCATCTCTCATTTCCCCCATAACAATAGATTTCTCGCAAGGTCGCAATATTACATCAAAATCATGCAAACAAAGTCTTTCTTGCTCGGAAATGAATGTTTACCATCATTATACTACAGCAAAATATGCTGCTGAAGCAGTATCTTGAACCACATAAATAGAACATTCTTGATAATGTATTAATTATAATTTAGGGGTATATAAAATGTTTTAAAAATGTTATTGTTTCGCTTTAAGGTTACCCTTGGTAGTTGCGATTTTTCCAGTAAGTACCTTTGTTGCCCACGTAGCCCCTGCCTACTATCATTTCACGATTTCCATTTCCTCACAGAATACGAGCGATTTACTAATGGGAACGTAGAGGGCGGGCCTCAGGCTGTGCCTCCTAGTCATGAGAAGACTGGTGAGGTTCCAATCAATGCTCCTCTTGGATACCCTTTACAACAGCCTGCACAATATGGACCACAGCAACCTGGAGTATATGTCTATCAACAACAGGTAGTCCGATGTGATACTAACTTAACAAACATAATATTCCTCGCTGGTTCTTATGTTTTCTCTCTTTTTCTGGGGTCCTCATCGAACACAATGTCAAGAAAGAGAAGGAGAGGGAAGGCGTCACCAAAGAAGGAGCAACGATTAAAATTCAAGATAAATTTACCATAAAAGGACTTCAAATTCCTAAAAAAAACTACCATTTAAAAGTATCCGTTTCCAAATAAAGAACCAAACAGGTGGAGACTTAAATTCATTTGAAAGTGACCCATATACAGTCAAACCTGCTTAAAAGACCACCTGTCTACAAAGACCATCTGTCTAAAACAAGCACATTGTTTGTTCCCCTTGAAAATGGTTTCTCATCGAAACATGTACTAAAGGTACCTGTCTACAAAGACCACTTTTTGTGTTTCCCTTGGGCGGTCAATGTAGATAGGTTTGACTGTATTTTCCTGTTGAATATTATAGGCACCAGGGCAGCAGATGATGATGCATGCAGCTCCCGGTCCTATCCCGAAAGACTACTTCGGATTTGCGCTCTTTGTTACCATCTGCTGCTGTCTCCCATTCGGGATTGTTGGTCTCATCAAATCAAGTGAGGTAAGCCAGTATAGAGCCAATCAATTTGAAATGGCTTCCGTATGATTCAAATGATTCAAATCATTTTATTTCTCATGCAAAACATAATACAAGAATAATTATATCACAACAAATATGCAATGAAACGACAAATATAATGGAAAAAGCACGAGAAAAGAGGAACTAACTTGAAGCAGAGTTTGTTGAAGTGTTCGTTCCTCAGATGCTGTTTTACAATAAAACATGAACAAAGTATGCTTAGAAATCATGAATAGACAATATGTAGCTAAGGGGGGGGGGAGGGGAAAATGGAGGAAAATAGTAGAAGGCAAAAAGAAGAAAGATACAAAAAAAGGATAAATGAATGATTACAAAAGCTCTAGAAAGGGAAATTAGATCAGTAGAATGAGGGAGAAAGAGATTTACAGCCTTTTCACACACAGCTAAAATTCTATAAACATGACTAGTATAAACGTGTTTCGAACGTGTTTAAACTAATCACGAGCCTTTCACACACAGAAATTTCGGTGCGATCGTTAATTGTTTCGTGATTAACTACTGCTCGTAAAATGCGCAGTAGTGCCATTGCGCATTGAAGGTCGTGTCATGTCAATCAAAGCGCACGCTCCATCCAGTTTAAACACGTTTAAACAAGAATTTCCTTTCACACACAAAATGTCAAGCTCTCTAGATACGAACTTCGTATCTGCAGCCTGCTTTTAGGGGCGTATGGATCGCGACTTCGTATCTATCCCAACATCGTATAAACGATGTTCACACTGGGAAATTTTGTCTATAAACATGTTTAAAATTTTACGATGATTCTAATCATCACTAGATACGATGAATTTTAGCTGTGTGTGAAAAGGCTGCAAGAAAGAGATCGACTCGAGAGTCAAACAAACCGAGATTCGATCATGAATACGTGTTTAAAAGTTTAATCTTTAACTTCTTTTTTTAATGTGTATAGAGTGGTACTTTGTTTAAGAGATGGATCTATTTAATATGTATCGATATTACTACGTTAATTCCTATGGAGGATATAGTAATGTATTTAGCCAGCTCAGTGATCGATCGATCGGAACAGTTCAGCTGGATAGTTATATAAGAATCACATATAGGCCTAATATCAATAAATTACTTTATAAGATGGGTAGAAGAATCCCTGCAATTTGATTGGTCAATTACCATGTAATTATTTTTACTGGATTTTTTTGTTTTCATAGGTTTTTATTCATTTCTCTCATAAAGAAAACTTGTACATTATTTATAACATTGTATACAAAATAACAAAATAATGTTAACATAGGTCTTGACAAATTTGCCAATGAACTTTTACATTTACATACAAAAGTTACCCATTTACAGATGAAAAATATTCACATAAACAAAATTATATTTTCACCAAAAAAAAAAAAAAAAAAAATCGCAAATAAAGTTTGTACTATTTTCTCGACCAGTTTGATTATAAATCTCAAATTATTTCTTTTCCACAATATTCTGTTAACCTATATTCCTCTTAAATTTCCTTTGGAGACAATATATATATATAAAGAGAAAGAGCTAGAAAACACCTACTACCCCGAACCCCACACAACATTTGAACACATAACAAGTACAGAAGTATACAAAACACACACCAACATAGAACGAACAAACAACAAAAGTTTTTAAAAAAATGAAAAGAAGAGAAAAAAGAAGGAAAAAAGAAGTAGAGAAGAGAGGAGGGGTCTGGAAGTTGTATATTGAGAAAATTAACAACTGAAAACATTCTCGGTCTCGGTCCCTGTTTCTCTGTCTGTGTTTCCCTGTCTCTGTTTCTATGTCTCTGTTTCTCTGTCTCTGTGTCTGTCTCTGTTTCTCTCTCTCTCTCTCTCTCTCTCTCTCTCTTTCACGCTCTATTTCGCTACCATATCTTGTAGGTGAAGAATCGTGCAGCGATGGGTGATTACAATGGCGCTACCCTGTCCTCTGCTGACGCAAGGCGTTGGTCTTGGGCTGGTTGTATCGTTGGTGGTATCAGCTGGGGTATCGGTATCGTTGTGATCTGTGTTTACATAGGGCTCATTGTGGCTGCTTGTAACGCTGGTAATTGCGGTGATTATTAACCCGCTGGCTACCATCATTCCCATAGGCTTTATATAGGGACCACTCGGTTCTAGTGCGGTGATTATTAAACGGAAGAAATCAAAAGCACAGAGCAAGGGTTAATAATGCGATAGGCCAACCAAACCCTACGTGTTCTCATGTCTAGAGCCCATGTCGGTCATATAAACAGAATGTAAGATAAATACGTGAGTACATCATATGAGAAATAATTGATTAGATATACAAATCAGTTAATAAATAAATGAATAACTTACTTAATTTATTGATTAATAATTAATTTAAAAATGTACATCACATACCTTTACCACTTATAAAACAGAGATAGCTGATGTACGCGGTGAGTGGATTTGTTTTTTGCAGCTAACATTTTTGCCCCCCCCCCCCCTCCCCTCAAGTAGAATTGTGTGTATTTTGCCACTGTATGTACTGTTAATGCTTGAACCGGGCTCTGCTGGTTACTCATTAAGTGGAGTCTTAAACCCACTGTTTATATTGACACAATGGCCAGAATTCACAAAGAAGGTTTGTCGACAAACCTTGGTTTTCGTACGTCATAATTATGACGCGTTTTACGCGTTTATTACAAACCTGGTTTGTAAAGAACAAAAGGAGGTTTGGCGAAACAAAAGGAGGTTTGAGCTCAAACCTTGCTTTGTGAATTCGGGCCAATATGTAGTGGACGTTTCATATTGAAGCACCTCCCTTATAAAAAAAAAAAGAACCATGGTAACTATGTTTTTTTTAATCCAATTACCATCCACCATGGTAACCATGGTATCATACAATGAAATCATCATTGAATTCTATTGTTTGATACAAAAATTTGGATGAAAAAAACATGGTTACCATGGTTCTTTTTGTATAAGGGTTGACCAAAACGGTCTATCGTGGTTTTAAATTAGGAAATGCATAAGATTGGATAGGGGTATGCTCTAAACAATATACTCTTGGAGAGAAATTAGAACTTAGAACTTAGAACTGCACCTTCCACCCAGACCTTCAAGACTGCATTTAAAGGCAGGCTTTACTACTTCAGCCAGAATGGATTAGACCACACAGCGAGCCAGCGAGGTCACTGTGACAGGTGGCTATCTCATTAACTCAGCTCTCATTTAATATAAGAAAAAGAGGATCATATGGGGGACCAAAAGGCACCGATTGGGAAGTTTTCTATATAGAGGGAGCAAGTAGCTACAAGTAGGTTTTAAGAATTAATTATTTTCATGCTTTGCTATCTATAATTTCAATTGAAATTATATATGTCTACAACTTGTAATATATGAATAAAATCTTGCACCATTATTGTTGAATCATTATTTAAGAATGAATTATAATGTTGATCAATCTAGTTACTGTTGTACTATTTTAGTTAAGATCTTGTCAGAATGTTTTGTTTGAGGATAGTTCAATAGTAGAACCATGTAATTAATTCAGCTTGTAATACAATGTAAAGCGCATAGAGACATACCTTGTATAATGCGCTAAAGAAATATAATTTATTATTATTATTATTATTAAAGAAATCGCTTTTCAATTGCTAAAAAAAAATTAACATAGATACTATTGGGTAGGAAACTTTCCTTGTGTATAATAGGCATAGAGTATGATTGATAATGGCTTTAAAGAAAATTTGATCCTTATTAAAATTGCACAAGATGATAAACCCCTAGTATTCTGCTCGGCAAAGCTTTTATTATGTGCTGTATGTAGTACGTGTCATGCAGCTGTTTATTTCTTATTACTTTGAATATAGCCTAATACGCCCATTTAATCTCATTTAAAGAGTGGAAACTCTATTTTCAAAAATTTAGTTTGAAACTTTATCTGTAGAAACAATATGCGCTGTCAGACAATTATTGCTGCATGGTTAAGTATAAGTATACCATTTATTGTACATTCCCACAGAAAAGGGAATTTTCTTAAACAGATCAAATTGTTTTTTTGTATTTAAATTATGATTCCTGTATCAGAATAGTAACAATTCTGTCAAAATCACTCCGTTCAGAATTTACACAGACATTGGTAGCAGGACGGAAAATAATAAGCCAGATCGTAAATGTTGCTTCGGTACGCGTGACCCCAAAATATCCACAGATCTTTTACACGATGTGCATTTTAGAATAATCACTACTGAAGTGATGTAGGTGCTTCATGAATATCTTTTGTTTGCCTCTTGAGAAGAATACTTCCACTAGTGTATCAGATAAATGTACGGTCGGTGCATAAACGAATACTGATTTACATAACTTTCATTAGCACTTTACCAGTATTTGTCTCGATGATGGGTTTTAAAACTTGGGAATAAATTACCTTTATCTGCCCATGCGCAGATAGTATTTACGAACTGGCTCATTGTAACTATCCACGAATGAGGAGTAATGCATACATCGACTTCAATGATTTAGCCGCCTTTGATCTCCCAATAAAAGTTAATGAATGGAACTGAAACCACTGACTATACTCTCTTCTTTTAGCAATCCTGGATGGTCTGTGTGCAATTGGTGGAGCAAGATAATGGCCTGAATTCACAAACACTATGAACATAACGGACAAAGAAAGCGGACAAAATATACAGTTCCTTAGATAGACAAAGGAACATCCCTTCACTGCTATTATGTAAAAAGGTGAATATGCATGTGACACCTGTTCTACATATTTTTACATAATAGCAGTGAAGGGATGTTCCTTTGTCCACCTGAGGAACAGTATATTTTGTCCGCTCTCTTTGTCAGTCATGCTCATAGTGAAAGGAGGTTTGTCAACAAACCTAAGTTTATGTGCTTCATTAAATTATGGCGCGTTTCGACACGTTTCAAACCAAGGTTCAGACGAACCATGGTTTGAAACGTATCGACAAACCTCCTTTGTGAATTCGGGCCCAGGCGCGATCCAGGGGGGGGGGCCGAGCGGGCCTTGCCCCCCCCCCCCCCGCAAAAAAGGGGAAAAAATGAGAGAGAGAAAAGGAAAAGAAGGGAAAGGGAAAGAGGAGAGAAAGGGGAAAAAAGAGGAAGAGGAAAAGAAGAGAGGGAAGAAGGAGATCGGGGGGGGGCAAAAGGACCAACCTTCCCCCTCCAATCAAAAAATAAAAGAGAAGGAAGGAAAGGGAAAGAAAAAAGGAAAATAGGAGATAAAGGGAAGGAAAAAAGAGGAAGAAGAAAAGAAAAGAAGGGGGGTATCAGTTGCAATTTTCCCGCCAACAAGTTGTGGATCGAGGGGAGGCAAAAGGCCCTTGCCTCCCCCCCCCCCCCCCCCCCCCGTCCCCGCTAAACAAAGAGAGAAGGAAGGAAAAGGAAAAGAGGAGAGCTAAAAGGGAACAAAAAAAGAGGAAGAAGAAAAGAAGGGGAGATCAGTCAACAATGTGTGGAGCGGAGTGGGGGCCAAAATGACCTCCCCCCCCCCCCCCCCCCCAGCAAACCTAAAAGAGAGAGAAGGAAGGGAAGGGAAAGGGAAAGAGGAGAGAAAGGGAAAGAACAAACAGAGAATGAAGAAAGGTAAGGGATATCAGTTGTAATTTTCTCGTCAACAAGGTGTAAATCGGGGGGGGGGGGCACTGACGTACTGATAGGGGAGGGGGGGGGGGGGCTTTGGGGAAATCAAATTCAAACGTATTTACAAATAATGCAGAAATGACATAATTTTCCCCAATTTTTCCTCACTTTTAAGTAAATTGTACTTTTTTATGCGTTTGTTGGAAAATGACAAATTCCTAAATTTATAGCCAGGCAAGAACATGCTTCTTGAGATGCCTACATGTCAGGGCCCGCGGAACGGCGGGGATCGGGATCCTCGAGCCCCCCCCCCCCCCCACACTTTTTTTGAAAAAGTATATTAAAGAGAAATAGAAAGAAAGAGAGCAAGAAAGAAAAAATAGTTAAATGCCAGTGTCACATTATAATGAGGTATCAAAATATGCTCATCTGACCATGATTAAATTAAATGCCTAAAACCACGAGGGATCTGCCCCCTGGGTCCACCTAGGGCCCTAAGGTGGGTCCTTAGATGCTCATCTGACAGTAATTAAACGCCTAAAACCCCTGAGCTTCCGGGGCTCTGCCCCCTGACCCCAACCAAGAGCCTTAACGGGCGGGCCTCTTGATACTCATCTGACCGTAATTGAGTGCCTAAAACCCTTGAGATTCCGGGGGCTCCGCCCCTGAACCCCACGCCAATTAGTGACCTGCCAGTGTCACAATTAGGTATCAAAACAATGCTCATCTGACCTTAATAAAATTCCTAAAACCCCTGAACTTCCGGGGCTCTGCTCCCTGGACCCGCCTAGGGCCCAAAGGCGGACCCCTGAATGCTAATCTGACCGTAAATTATTGCCTTAAACCCCTGAGTTCCGGGGGCAGACAAGGTATCAACATTATGTTCATCTGACCGCAGGCGCGTAGCCAGGGGGGAGGGGGGGGGGAGGGGCAGTGGGGTGGTCCCCCCAAAAAACGCCGGCCAAAAAAGAGAGGAGTGAAAAGGAAAAGGACGTAGGAAGAAAAGGGAGTAGACAAAGAACATTTTTGAAATTCAGACAAAGATTAAAGTGGCATGTTCCCGCCAGTGTAGTTATCGCTGCTCTAGTCATCGCCATCTTGGTTCCGAAGATCGACTTCTAATTTGCATACAGCTGTCAATCAAAGTACGCGCGGCCTGGCCTGCCTTCGCCAAGCCAGCTGATCGCTGACGATCGCGACGTCACGAAAGTGGGCGGAAACAGCAGCCGAATCTTAGAGCCGAACTGCGATTGGCATTACTTCGGCACATGTATGCGATAATCGGTATTGTCCGGGCATTCGGAACATGCCATCTGCGTAAGAGCCGTATTCTGTTGGTGTCAATAGGCAGCTAGCACCGTCCGCCAGCGGGTACGTATTTTGAACGCCCTCTGGAATACGGGGAACATGCCTCTTTAAGAGTCGAGAACGGTACGAATCGTCTGCTTTCTCTAATGATTTAATGAAACGTAAAAGCTTCCGCGCTTTGCGCGGGAGGGGGGGAAACTGAATTTAGACGAAGATTAAGAGTCGATAACGACACAACGAATCGTCTTCAATCTCTTAATGAAACGTAAAAGCTACCGCGCTTCGCGCGGGAGGTGAGGAAACATAATTCAGACGAGGATTATATTTGGGAACGGTACAACGAATCGTCTTCTTTCTCTAATAATTTATTGAAATGTCAAAGGTTCCGCGCTTCCCGGAGGAGGGAGGGGGAAACTCGCCCCTCCCTGCACCCCCCCCCCCCCCCCCCCCCAATTACGTCACTGCTGGTCACCATAACGTACCAATATTTGGCTCGCATGATTTCAAATTTGGCCCCCCCCCTAAGAAATCCTGGATCTGCGCCTGTTCACTTGTTCACTTGAACTACATGTTAAAAAGTAGATTGTATATATTGTTTCGAGCTTTCTATACTAAGAGGTGTCTACGATTACACACTCATAGCCTTGAGCTCGAATCGGAGCCACCATAAAGGGTCGAGATATCTCTTGACCTCAACACGCCAATCAAAACAAATGAAAAGAATCACGCGACGCAAAGCTTCAATCTTTTTACTTGAACTTGATTGTCGCGTTATTCCTTAAACTTTT